TTGGTTTAATCGCCATCTGCCCTGGACTTGACACGACTTCAAAAGGTAGACTATGGGTCGTGTAGCTTTAGGCCTAAAGCCCACGTCTTTGCACGCCCTGCCTAGTTCAATTAATCAAGTGCAATCTGTATTTGCTTATCGACGATGTGACAAGCCCTTATGTAATCGTCGAGTCCCACAAATCATTTTAACGTAGAGCCTTTGTCAGCTCCCTTGTACTTAAAACTTCAATCTTTACAGTCTCGATTTATCTTGTGCACGTCGATCCGGAGCAGTAGTCTGCCGCTATATCAAAAGTTTAAACTGCTGTGCACGATTTTATTTTAACAGCTCTGTCGGTTAAGACCATTTTGAAGAAGCGAGGATAATTTTTACAGCTCGACGTCAAGTTCATTCTGAATAAACTTGGGGATGGTGGCGTTCTGTCCGTCGGGCCTCAGAGCGGACAGCATGCGCCAACGGATTCTTGCCCCATCGTCGAACTCAAAAGTCCGGCGGCATCCTAGTTAAATTGCCTCAAATGGGAGTGGCTTTCGTAAGTGGGATATAAATTATCCCCTCATCGTCCTTCACGTTCATGGTCACTATACAGACTACGAAGTGCTACCAGGTGGTATGGGGCTGCTCTTTTTTCAGCTAGCTAAATAAATCTTGCACTGCTGACAGTGAAAGGGTGTGTGCTTCCTACTGCCTCACTTACACGTACGCGCAGATGAAGATTGCTATGCGGATTAAGAATGCTTGGTAAAGGTAAAAAGTAGAACTGGATTTAGTATAGTTATTTCTCTTAGTAATCCCTATTTGACTTCATTTGACTATTTCTAAGTACAAACTTGTATTATAACTATCTGCCAACCACTCATTGCGTGCTTTTTTCATGGCTAGAATTTATTGGTGGATACATTGGTCCTACATGAACCAATAAGCAGTCTATGACATCTACGAAGCAAAATTATCGATTTGGATAATATTGTACGAATATTGTGTTTGTCCAAACATAACATTCATACTTGATAATTACCTTTTGTAAATAATCATGTAACGGAGGCATCCCGTTACATGCTTTGGATTTGCAATACTAGAGCAATATGTCCAACAACACCTGAAAGAAGACATGCTTAGCTTCTTGACGGAAGGTTTGAGTGGTAAAAGTGCGTTCGCAATGTTTGCTGTACATGTTTGATGTTTCCAATAGACCTGATGCCGGTAGCGTGAAAGCCAGAGCGTAGTTCTTCTCGTTGCTACGGTGTTGGAGTGAAGCTGGAATTGATCTGGATAATATGTTCAAACCATATTTTCAGTATTTCATCCAGAGAAAGATGCGGCTTCAAAGATGAAAATCATTCTATCCTATTAACGCGTGGTCTATAATGCGGGCAACCACCATTGTGTGCGAGCTGTACGGCCTCATTGAGACTTACGACCGTGGCTTCGAGTGAGACAATGCCTCTCCGACATGAGAAGACACTATTGATAGACTGTACGAACTCTGTATCGTGCCGGTCTCGGTAGTGTGAAGCCGATGAGTCCGTGTAGCGATTCGCTGTAATATGCGCTTGTTTGCCATAGGAGCAAATCGCGTTTTAGGTAATTAACTCGTATTTTCGTGTTGTACCCACTGCGCCTTTAACTTGATGAAGTAAAATGAGGGAGACATCATGTGGCGTACCAAGACGATAACTCCCTCATTTCATTCCGTCAAGTAAATCTATCGCGCGCGTCTTGCTTCGACTGATATTGTGTATACCTTTGCTTTTGTCGAAGCGTGAGCGCTGATGATGTCTTCCGAAGTTACACCGTAAAGCCACAAGTGCGTTTTAACGATTTTGCCCTTTGCGTACAGGAGTTGTGCGAAACACTGACTTTTACAGACCACATCTATGGCGCATCTGCGGAATAGCGTCTTACAATGGTAGCGTGTGTCTCGGTAGCAACATTTGCTGGACAACATGCTTCGATAGAGGCATCACTTTGGACTCGTCAACGAATCAAACCCTCAGTCTCAGTAGATTATTACAGTCGAACTGCCGCTACATATTCTGAGTCAGCAATTTCTTGGAATTGTGATCGCAGCAAAGGATTGCGACCTAACGCTCGATCCCACAAATCCCGCACATTCTCCTTCAGTGAACGGCGCAGGGTAAAACGAAGCTGCCGAATTTCTTAACTCATAATTTTTGTGTAAACTGCAAGCTTGCTTGATAATCAAAGATATTCTCGACGTACAAAGCGTTTCGTGATACTCGCGACAGTTAAACTGTATGACGCCACTCAAGCATAAACCACTGTTGTGGTTTCTCTTCAGTCCTTTGCACTGTTACTATTGCGCAAACGAGGATGCTTCTTATACATCGAAAGCGGCAAAGTCGTTCACGAATATCGCCTCAAAAAGAATACCATAGCTACAAACACGAGGATGTTACATTGGCACACCAACACTCCACACACGCACGTGCGTACCAGTGGTTCCTTATAAACATTTGTACCTGGAACTGTCATACATCGCGTGACCCACCAATGCTCGGGGCATATCGGGTTGTAAGCTTGTTACATAAGTCTGACCCTCATCTACGGTCGGAGTAAAATCATACAACATTTTACTTTTTCTGGGCTCCAGCCAGCGTTAGCGTGGCATTTACGCTTACACTAATCACATGCGATTATTCAACCACCTGTGCGTACAACCAAGGATAAAAGACACTCATAAATAGGCGACCAAGGTCTAGAAGGTGGTTCCTTTAACACCCATCTGCCTCGCTGAGACTAACATCGATCGCCAAAGCTACCGTGTGCGTTTTTATTCGGCCCCTATCGGTCAAGAAGGCATTGCTTTAGAGCTTTGGCCTCCTCATGTAACGAGGGTGGACGACCTCGCTTAAGACATTACAATCTGTTACACCGCTGCAAAAGGTATAAACAAACAGCACGTCGCGCGTATGAGTACATATCACCGCCAGCTCATTATACTTCACGAGACGATGAGGTTTTCTGACAACAAGTGCCAGTAACGAGAGTTCCACGAAGTCACAAGAGTCGCAGGAGCGTGCACCGATGTACAACACGGTCGAGTTCAGTAAAAATAGACACCCTTATAATCCAGTCACGTCAAGAATATGTAATGTTTTAAAATTTAGGTGCGCATAGTCACCGCTATCGAGTTGAGGATCTCATCGCGTGCAATAAGAACTTACCAATTTCGGGATCTAGTCAACTCTCGATACCCACCATCGCCAGTTGCCAAATTCTGCTAGACATCGTGATCGAACGAACAACACCCCTTATGCTTAGGCGAAAGCGCGTTAGCAACGCCGGCATCTGTTTATTCAACGAAATGCGCTGCGAGCCTTTACAATATACATGTAGGCACACTTGTCTGATGGTAATTTGATTGTACAAGGTCATGATGACACTTTCGATTTTATCTTGGTCATCCTTGTATCCGGTAGCAAGGACCATGGTTCACCTGACAACGATGCCTGACACTTTTTCTACAAATGAAATTGAACATGTTGGGGTTTTACGGCTGTGACTGCACCTTAGGCGATTGTAAAGGCTCGCTGCGTTCAAGTTGCAAGCACGAAGGTACAAGAAACTAATGACAACGCTTAAGCAAGATATTTAGACAGCGACGTCTACGTAAAGAGTAGAAGGAAGTTTTTTTGCCGAGATGAGGCGACACTGTCGGAAGGCAAAGCGTGTAGTCAATGCCTTTTTATTGAACGCGTGCCAAACTATCTACGTTCCTCGCACTAAAGGTTTACTCCGTGGCTTAACCAGTCAATAAGTAAATTCCAAACTCGGGTCTAACGCCACCCTTTTGACTGTTAACCTTCTCGAAAGTGAGAGTGACCCGCCCGTCATAATCATCATAATGATTGTAAATCTGGCAGCTAGGTCATCGACCGAAACGGGGTGTCTTCCACCACATCCCCCATTGAAACAGTCACTCTCGTGCATATCGCATAGGATGTCACTAGGAATGGGGAAAATGGGCTTGCTTTCGCAATGTACGAAGACTAGTGGTGTATGATACTGCGTTCGAAATACTTGTGCAGTCCAAGGACGTGTTAAATCGGCCAAAGACCACGCTCGCTAGACATGTACTCGAGTTGTGCTACTGAGGCCCGTATATACGGAGTCAGAGCGTATTCAAAATAGCGTAAGGCTACTGCGGGGTACCGAATACTCTAACACGCGTCACGAGAGGTACCTTACCACAATGCAGTCGAGTCATAAAGAGCACTAGGTGAATCACCCGCTTGAAATTAGCCTCTGAACAGGACACGAAATGAGCTTGCATCTGCAAAGATTCATCGCTAACTTCAGAACGGTATGTGCAGCTCGATAGTTTGTGAAATGGAGTACCAATCCTTCCGCATTATGATGGTGCAGTTCAGAAGCACGCTACCAGAGTGTACTGGCTATGAAGTGTACAAGGCGACTTTTGCCAGCACCTATTGTACCTAGCGTTTAAGCCACCTCCGACTTGCAGAAACTATAGCCTCTACATAACTTGTAAGATGGAACGCGATACGATGTGGCGTACAATCGGAAGACAAAGGAGAGTAGTAGAAGAGGACACAACTGTACGTGTATCCTACCTCAAGATTTTACCCATTGCTTTGTTAGGGGCGTAGTACTCCAAGAACACCTCGGATAATCATGGATCGATAGCAGCGCGGCAGTTGCGTTTGGCATCGGCCGTGTTGCCGTAAGTAGTTCTCAGATTAGTCGCAGCCTTCACCCTTTGGACTTATACACAAGCTCAGGAACTTTCCCAAGAATCCATACTGCCCAACAACGTTCAGACGTTCTCTATGACGTGCTATAGGTTGTGTTACAGCCAACTCACCACTTCAACATCAACAAATCGATGCGTACCCACTTTCCGAGTAATTGATGTACTCGCACCTCAACTAAGTACGAACAAATCGTTACATAGAACCTCCTAACCTGACCCCCCAACACCGACTTATTCTCGATTCTGCCCCGCTTTAGAAATGCCCACCAGCCCGAGGATAGAAACGGCACTTGATGATGTCGACGCGCGCACGTCGGCTCTGTGGCGCGAGCTCGTGGACACCAGTGTCGAGTGCGAGCTATGCAACGAGCCATACAACGACGACAATGCGGACGATGCCGGCCACATCCCGCGCCTCTTGACGTGCGGCCACACTTACTGCCAGGTAGAAACGCGCTGCACACTTGACTGCATTTCTATAACCCCTTCCCCTCATTTCTAACGAGTTCAATAATGTTACGAATTCTGATTCTGATTATAAACACTCTGATTCTGATTATCCTAGAGCTGTTTGGATGACTGGGCGACGGCAAATACTCGTCTGGCTGACGCTTTGGGTGAAGAAATGGCCGTGGAATGTCCAACCTGTCGCCGCGTCACGCGTTTGAACCGGGCGATAGGCGCACAGGCGCTTCCTAAGAACTTTGAGCTCGTGCGCGCCCGTCAGGAGATGGAAGCGCGGTCTCAGATTCACTTGGTTCAACTCAAGCAGGAGTGGGCGATTCAAGTGAAGGAGAAAGAGCTCTTGGCTAAAGAAGCACAGGAACATGCTCGGACGGCCCAGCGGGAGAGTGTGCAGGCTTCCCAGCGTGCCTTGTTTCTGGCCAAGCAGGTGCAGATCAATGAGCAAGAGAAGAAAGAGGCACAGGATCTGGCCGAAGAAGCGAGACGCCGCGCGCTGCTCGCGTCGCAGCAAGCGGCAGTGCTGCAGGCAGAGACTGAGAATTTGAAACGGCAGCTTGAGGTGGATGCTGCGCAGCTTGCTCGCATGCAACATGATGCCTCGAGTGCTGCAGCTGTGGCCAAAGAGTTGACGTCGAAAGCGGAGCAGCTGCAACAGCAAGTAGACTGTGTTCGTGCTCAGCTTTCGCTGCATGCCGGTCGTCATGACCCTGGAAAGTTGGTTGTACTAGTGTGCGAACCGACGACCGTGGGCTCGTGGATGATGCCATATACGAGATACGCTGTAATCTGCATTGCTAGTGACACGACGAAGGGCGATCAGTCCATTGACCCGTACCAAGCTGCGAAAACTTGGACACGCCTTCACCAAGTTGAAGAACCCAGCTCGTCTGTCAAAGTGTACCGCCGCTACAGCGATTTTGTCTGGCTGCATGGCGAATTGCAGCGTCAGTATCCGTTTAAGCTGGTACCCTGCGTGCCGGGAAAGCAGCTCTTCTTCAACAAAGATAAGGAGTTTGTTGGTGAACGCATGCGTTTACTGCAAGCCTTTTTGCGCGGTGTGCTTCGGCAGCCGCTGTTTGCCGTGACAGAAGAAGTGCGCGCTTTCTTGCTATCGACCACGGAAGAACTCGAAAGTCTTCGGCGCGCTACTTCTACTTATTACGGCGGATTGGAGGATGACGACCTGCTGTCGTTGGACGAATGTTCACCCTGCGACGACGTGGAGTCCCGAAGCTCATCATCCCCGCGAGCTAGTTATGCCCCCGCATCGTCCACCAACACTACACTCAGCATGCACAGCAGCACTTGGAGTGCGTGGAGTGCTGTGTCGGCCATTACTTCAAGCGCTGCAAAGCTTGTCACGACAACAGGTACGGCTCTTACTGGTATGGGCTCGAAAACCGGTCCAGCGAGTCTTCCTACAGATTGCGAACTCGAGTTGTCGAGGAGTTTTACCGAGGCAGAAGGAGATAACGCAGCGACTCGCTCGTGCATCGAGCGTCGTCGAAAATATATTGACGTGACAAGGTCATACCAATCAACGGCACAAAAGGGAAGTCAACTGTCACGGGCTTCGCGTCAGCAGTCGCACCATTTACACCGCATGTGTGAACTACTTCATGACATGAACCAGCTTGATCAAGGTCATGCGCAGCGCCGCCGAGAGAGACTTGCAGCGTCGAAGGATGTAAGGTCTCATCAGGTTGACGAAGATGACGATATGGAAACACGAGCTTTTGGCGATCGAGCATCTGATGTCTTTAGTGCCATCTCTTTGAACACGAAGAACGATGCTGACTGCATGGAGTATGCACTGTTGGAGATCATGCGGATGCAGACGCTGGAGTTGGGAGGCATTGAGGATGCTTTTGGGCGCGTACGCCGTCGTGAGGAGGCGCTGCAAATGCAGCAGCAATTGACCCCACCATCCAGCAGTCCCAGAACAGTCAACCACTCGAGTGACTATGGAGTTTCACTCTCTGCCGTATCTCTTAAACGCGACGAGCTGGCTACACATAGGCGCGAACTGAATGAAAAGGTTGCAGGTCTGGACCCTGGTCGCTCGCTTTTCGTGCTGGATGTGCTTTGCAAAAACACCAGCGAGATGTACAAGCTTGCAAAGACCAAGCGCAAGCTGTTTCAGGCCTCGCAGCAGCAACTGATTGGTGTGAGGCGTTAGGTGAATTCCTGCACGCCTGGGACATAGTGCGCTCGAAGGGGCGGATCAAGCAATGGTGAGTTTGTATCAATACATCGCGTGTGATTGTGTACACGATGTGTTTCTTCACGTTGCAGTCTCGTTCGTGGTGTTGTTGAGGGACGGCGGTCAGTGCTTATCCGTCCACTTGGGTGGTAGATGACAATCAACGAAGGAATGCGGGCAAGTTGACACGTTCCGTCTGCGCCAATCGCACCAGTCTCGTCACTTTGACGTACTCTACGCGCACGACGGAAGCTCTGGATCCGAGCGATACTGCAGCCGCTGTATCCGCCACCAAGACGAAGAGGCTTCTTATAGGTGGCACGATGCAACAGCGCAGACACTTCGAATGCCTCACACAGAATCCAGCACCAAGCCAATGGCTCCATGCTCTGCTGCTGTAACTCGCCTTACAGCTATGTGCTGTGTGCGAGATGAGCGGAACAAACGCGTCCGACGTGTTTTCATAGGCAAGTGAAGAGGCTCGAAGGCAGATGGACGCCTGGTTCAAGTCGGCAGGTTGATTGCCCATCTCGATGCGCCGCCTGTTTCTGTCCGTCTCACGTGGGTGCGATATGTCGCAAAAAGACTCTGCAAGCGGTGGATGAAGTATCTGCGACAAGGCAATCGCTCCGTCTCTCGTCCGTACCGGATAAGATGTGACTTGTGTCTCAGTATCGGATCATTTGAATAAAGCGCTGCCGTGACGACGACGCGTCTTGCTTTGTCTTGTCTTTGTCACCTGCGGCCGAGTGACCGCAAGAGTCGTGACAGGATCGTCGTTCGCGGAACAAGCGCGGAACGTTCGGACAAGCCAGGTCCTTGGTGGCAGCATCAAGCGGCGTGGGACGTGCTCTATTGAAAGGCACTGCGCTTGTTCGGCAAACGCCACAGTGAAGATACCTCGTAATGTTCCGCTGGCTTTGCAACGGTGACGCGACACTCGATCGAGTCTGGGATAGGCGTGGATCTGATCCGCCCGGCAGAAGGTCCACCCTCATCCTGGCGGGGATGCTCACACATGAGAGAGAGAGAGAGAAAAAGTTGCAGAGAAAAAGTGGTGCATGGACAACCTTTGAGCAGCACTCGGACGTATTGCTCAAGCTCTTGTGGTGTGGGTACAGAAGGCATCTCGTCCATATAAGCTCGAGGCATTTATACCCGTTAGCAAGTGGGGCTTGATGCTGCAACAACAGTCGAGTATTGCGAGCTGCTCTACGTGTGGTACATCCGCCCGACCAATCGTTGTCTCGCTTCCGAACGTCCGTCCCGCTTGAAGTGAGGTGTCCGCCCGTCTGTCGACCTGACAGAAGTCAGTCACGAGGTCGTCGTCTCGCGCATTCATTGGCGGAAACTGACGTCTTTTCCCTCCGTTGACGCGAGCTGTCGTCGTGTCGTTCGTGACACCCAGTTGGCCCGTCGCTTGTCACCCGGACGAAGAGAGCAGGACGTGCAAGAAAAAGGCCAGCAAGCCGCCCCCACGACCGACTACTGCCTGGAGGGTCCTTCCAGTCAGCAATTTCAACGCATGGCACAGCAGCAGTGGAGAACCGCGAGTGGAGCTCCTAGCGACTACCAGACGGCCAAGATGCAGTCGAACGAGGGCTCGGTTTCAACCGACGGTTGCGAGGCGAGGGAAGGGCGCGGCCCGAGGCTTCGCTTCACACACGATCAGTGCGAGAAAGAGCTTTTTTCGAGTGAATACTTGAGGTGCGGGTGCGTAAGGTGTAATTGTAGAAGAGAGAGAGAGAGAGAGAGAGAGAGAGAGAGAAAGGGGGGGTGAGAGGAGGGGTGGTGCTCTATTGGTGAGTTAATGGTCATGGTTGTGTGACTGACTGGCGGTCTTTGTATCTGCACTTTGTAGGAGCAATAAAGCCAGTGGTCACAAGGTGCGCGTCCGTTGGATCTTGGATCTATTTGTTTCATTCATGGAGCCGTGGCCCTCTGTCGCTGCTTTTGCTTCTTGTTATGGTTGCTGCTGGTTTCAGCTTCTTGTGTTCTAGTGCTTCAGCTGATTGTGAGTGGTGCGTTGTGTTTTACTTGTAGAATCTGCGGTGTTTCCCGCATTGCTGTGGTGGTCATAATCCCAAGAGCTTTTGTGGCTCGGGGCTCGTGGTCGAGTGCTTGCTGCCGACATGTCAAGTAGTGCTGGGCAGGTTTGAAGAACTGGCAAAGCAGCTGCCAGCTCACGCGAAAGCGCTTCCGTCGCCAACTGCATCCACGGCTGTCGACACGAGTCTTGGCCGCAATAACCTCGTGGTTGGTCGTGAGTATCCTCGTCAAGAGCTCTTTGACGATGTCAAGATGCCAGACCAGCCTTTCGGTCGCTGGTTCCGAGGCACGGCAGTGCCAGGTGGCAGCACGTCGGGAGCAGAAAGCTCGTGCTTTCTCCTGAATGGCAATCGTCAGTCGTGGCACTATGGGTGGCAGTCGTCGCGACTTAACTGCAAGAATCTGCACGTTTTCAAAGTCTACATTTTTGATGCAAGTGCTAGCGGAAATGACAACACGATGACGTGCATTGCTGCACTGGCATCACCGGCGTTCAGGATCTCGTCGAGCCGCAAGGCTAGAAAGACGTTCCGTGCACCCATGAGCCATGCGGCGGCGCTTGCTAACAGCGCTGTGCCAAGTTTGTCAAGTGGGTCGATGGGATTGCAACTGCCGCGACACGTGCTGTCTGCTTTAAGAAGTCCTGGAGTAGGTTTGCCGCCAGGGTCGCAAGGTGCGAGGAGTATTGATGAGTTCTTGGGAAGCGCAGCAGGCAGTAATCACACTGCTGCGGTAAATGCAGCTACTCTGTATGTGGCAGCCCAGCAACAACAACGACCGCCGACGGGCTTTATGACGAGGCAGCAGGACCCTGCTCGGCGTGAACGCAAGCGTTTAACTCGATCGGCTTCACTCAAGACAGACTATTTCTCGACCGTCTCTTTCCCTCCACCACAAGAGCAGCAGCAGCAATTGCACCAGCACCAGCTGTATCAACAATCCCAGAGACTGTCGCTTTCTGCCACGCATCCACTGCATTTCGAGGGTCTTCGCGACAATCGGGTATCGATGCCATCGTTGCCAGGTGTAGGCGCTTTCCTGAACAACTCTGTGGGACCTCGCGCAGCAGATGGTAATCGATCGGTCCATACGCGGCGGTCATCCCTAGCCGCTCTTCCAATGCCTGCTTCCAAGCCGTTGAATATGCCGCGCCAACCCCCAAGACCAGTGCCTGTGCTTACCCCAATTACAGGCATGATGCAGCTTCGATTGGAGAATCACTCGCTTTATTCCAGGACTCCACTTGCAAGCTCCACTCCGTCATCTACCCGTTCTGCGGTCCCTTCTTCTAGTACAAGGACTCCTGTTGGAAACACGTCGCGCCTTACGGCTGCAGCTCTGCACCAGCATGCGTATGCTTCTGCCAGGCCATATCCATATGCGCGGCGTGATACTTGGTCAAGTAGTTTGCAAACTATGATTCCCGAAGGAGGCGGCATTCCGATGATGATGATGTCACCTGGATCATCGCCTGACAGCTACTTGAATCGCAAGCGCAACCGCTCGACGGACTCTGACAAGGCAATTACAGCTGCCATTGAGGCCTCGGAAAAGATCTGCCCGACGTTGTCGCCTGTGTCATCTCCTGGAAATTCACGTCCAGCAATGACCCCGGTTCCCACTGACAGTGAGCTCTATCGTCGCGCGCGTATTTTGCAGCTAGCTTTTACGATCGTCAAGCGTATCTATCGCTTTGAAGAAGTTGCAGCGAAGAAGCAGAAGGAGTCGAATCCGAAGATCTGTCGCCACTCATTCGAGATGATTACTCCACCGATGCCGACTACGCCTCTAGCTTCGAGCAAGACGACGAAATGTCAGCACAAGAAGTACACGCTGGTGCAGATCCCTTTGAGCAACCCAAAGCTGCTGTATTTGTGCTCGAATCTCGTGACAGTTTGCACATCACTGGCAAGCTCTGGGCTGCTGGAGGAAATGCGTCAAAAGATGCATGACTGTGCCCAGGCTGGGCGTGGTGTCTTGGCTGCTTACGCGCAACTTGTGGATCTGTTGAATGGCGCTGTCGAGGCCCAAGTATCGCGCTTACCGCGCCGAATGCACAAGTCTTGGGGTGACGCTGAGTCAGCTGACGAGGGTGAATGGGATCTGTACGAAATGTTGAAGAGCTGCGAGCCGTGGCTGTTGCACGAGGCTTGGTGGGTGGTGCTGGATGACGACGACCAGCAGCAAGCCGGTGACAAGGAAGAAGGCGCATTGCGTCCGCTGCCGTACATGAACATTTTCACGAATTACTACCGCGCGATACGGGACGCGGTGCCTTCACGCCAAGACTTGGAAGTGGCGGTCTCGTTGCGTAAGGCTGCAGTTACAGGTGCTACGGGCTTAACTGGTGAGTGGAACCGTCTAGGTGAAGCGGACGAGCACCATCTACAGCAGCTGCAGCGTGTGGCCTCAGTCCGATCGGCAACGGCTGCGTCGTCTCTTTCGTGGTTGGCTCGATGCATTCACGCGCACACGACGAAGGTGCTTCACATTACGGAAACGGACACGACCATGACGCTATCGCTTCCGAATAGCTTGGTTTCCGCCGACGTCGTTTTCCTGCTGCAGCTGGACCAGCAAGAACCGACGGTGGTGCTGCCTCAAGACTACTTTCCATTTGGATGGTCTCGCAAGCGCTCCTTAATGGCGTACCGTGCATGGCGTGTGCGCTCTATCGGTGACTCGAACGGCAGTGCTGTGGCGGCTCAATTTATGCGCTGGCCTGACGATGATGAGCTCGATGCTGTTGAGAACGACGAAGAAGAGGAGGAACTAGATGATGATGATGAAGCAGATGACTCTCCCGAAGAGCCGGAAGAGGAGCCTATTGGTCGTCGCGGACGACGGCCAAAGCGTCTGCGCACTCGAATTACCATCTACTTTTCCGTGTTTTCCACGACGACTTTGCAGCTGCGCACGATCGTTGAAGCCAGTCTTGCCCCTGCTGCAGCGCTGCCGGCCTCCATGCCAGCGCAGCCCACCGAAGCTGATATGCTGCGATATTTCAAAGCGCCATCTTCGTGGGAAATGCGGTCGCAAATTTCGCAGCAGTACGCGAAGAACATGTAAACAATGGCTGGGGTTGGATGTGTCCAAACGACTGCTGCCTCACATGTTGAGCGAGTACTGATCGATATTTGTCAAGCTATAAAGCTCCCTCGACGACTTCCACATTGTATCGATGCGTACCACGTATCTTCTCATCAAGCGGAAGCAAGTATGGGCCGAAACAGCTCGAGTATGTGTGTGGTGATTTCGCAAGCATCATCGTGGTCAGACGTAAAAGCAAGTTCAGATCAAGCGAGTCCAGCATGGACAATGAATACGGGCCCAGTAGCAACGCAATCAATACCATTCCGCTTGTTCGAAGAGTTGAGCCCAACATACACTTGAACAACTTACGTCGGACATCCATTGAGACGCTTAAGAATCATCGCTTTCGGACGCAGATCACGTTGCGACAATCCAGCGAAGTTCTTGCTGGCCTTTGATTAATGTACAGCTGTACTGAGGAATGTGATCAATATCGTCTCCGCGACTGCCGAATCTCTCCTAGGTCCGCAATAAAGTAGAGATGATCTGTTCAACTCATCAATTGCAACAGCCACCCACAACACTTCGAGCATATCCAGTCAGCTCCTGCCGCAGCTCTTCGATCATCAGCGTCGACACAGCCGAATCACTACGGCTTGATAAATCCTACCACCATGCGACTTAGAATCTCGATCAATCGAACGAAATCATTCGACCTTATTTTCCTTGTTGGTGAAGCTGCGGCTGCTGGCGTCGTTCAATTGCTGGATTCGAGGACAGCGTCGTTGTCGCTGCTACAATTGGTTGTGCAGTTACTATTCCTGTCCCTGCAGTCGGCACCGACGTACTTCTTGAAACTGTCAAAACGCTGGAACTTGGACGCGATAACATCGCCGTGGTGACTCCCGAAAACGAAGTCACCGATTTGGACTGCTCATTTGCAGACAGATATGGCAGGACCGCACTCTTTCCTGTTGCTACTGCTGCCGTCTTAGCAGCATTCACAGCAACGGCTGAAGAAGCAGCGACCGACTGTTTTTGCAGTGCTTGCTGCTGAGCGGCATACCTTCGCTGCATCTTCTTCCGTGCTGCGGCATCTTGGCTAGCCTTGACCTTCTCGTTATACCCAGCCAACACTCGGGCGTAAGGCGTGAATCCTAGATTTGCCATGCTTTCCACGACATTGGCACCAGAGATCGATAGACCCACACCTTTATTTGTTCTCCGATTCTGCATCACGGAAAGATCTCGCGATTCGCTGGTAAAGTACAGGAGAAACTCGGTGACGCATTCTTGCATGAAGGTCACAGCCTCATCACTGATACTGACAGTATCTTGAAAACGCGACTCGTGATCTAGAGTCCTGTGTGACGCAAAGGTGGCCGCTGATACACCTTTGCTTTTTGTTTGCTCTTGGCGCTTGACAATTATGTCACCAACGCCTGCGTTTTCTTCTTGCACACGTGGAAGAGCCTTGTGCATAATCTTGGACACAATCTTGGATGGCATGTACATCTTGTCTTCAGGTTCTGAGCTTGTTCGGCGAGTCGAATCGAACTCGTAAAATTGCTGCGCGAGTTGAGGCGAAATTGGAGGTACCGATGTTGTCGGAGGTCGGTGGGCAGCCGCAATCAAGCTTGAAGACACTGCATGCACATCTGTGCATTGTTTCTTGGCAGCATCTGGAACTCCACACTGCATCGGGCGCTTGTATGTCGCTGGCACTGTCGCGGCTGCCAATTCGCGGTTACTGGTAATGGTAACCACATTGGTAGTATCCACTTTTGCTGCGTCTCGTTTTACCTTTGCCTTCTGATTGATCTCGACTTGTTTGGCTTGCAACTGGTCTTTCAAGTCGGCATATGCCCGCTCGATCCATGCCATGTCCCGTTTTACAGGAGCCCTGGCGGATTGATCAGGTGTCATCGAGCATGACGACGAAGCCATTTCAACTCGTGTCTGTGTTAGTGTCACTGGCTTTAGAGCGACAGCAGCACGAGTGGAACTAGTAGCAACGGCACTACTGGAAGCCGTGGTGAAAGAAGTGTTATCGGAAGCGACCATACGACTTGCAGATGTGGTCGTGATTGCAGCACGAGGAAACACCGTAAGAGCAGTGGCAGTGGCACCAGCGTAAGCTGCAGCAGGACGGGAAGTGACGACACCGTCAGCTGTAGTAGTAGCGGAACTCGCGGGAGCAGCAACGGTAGACTTGACAGCTGCGGCAGCTCTTAGAGCAGTAGCACGCTGCTGCTGAGCAGCTTGGTTCTTTTCTCGCAGCATAAGCACTCCCAACAATTGTACGATTTTGTGCGTGATATACTCGGATTTGACTTGGAGATCCAGCGGCCACCGGTTTTGCTGGACCAGCGTTGGCCGGCGGAGGGCCATTGAGTCATTATATTCTCGCTGCGCAAGTTGCAGTAGTGGAAGCTCTGTGCATCGATGCAGCCATGACGTCATTTTCTCGAGCGCTGGACGCATTTCGCTCTCGGTTCTTGCATTTGCCACGCGGATACAGACTCTCGCCAGTGCTTCCAAATCCATTCCAATCGTATCTTTCACCACTTTCTTCTTCACCGAGAAACAAGTTGGTGCAGCAGTAAGTACTGTATTTGAGGCTGCCGTTGTTGCTGTTGACGATGCTGCTGGTTGTGCACTTTGTGTCCCACCCTTGCTGACACCTTGCCTCCATTTCATCTGCAGCTGGAGCTGAGCTTGTTGATGTTGCTGTTGTTTCTGCAACACATCACGAAGCATCTGCTGTTGTTGAATCACGTGCTGCTGCTGCACCAACAATGAGTCGGCAATCGACGTAGACAAGACCTTTCTTGTCACGCTATTTCCATTGCTCCCTTGACGATGTTGCTTCTGCCGCTGTCTTTGTTGCGCGCGTTCCTGTTCCAGCTCCAGTTTACTTTGTAACCACTTGTCTCCTGTCACCATCGCTGACTGTTGAGCAATCTGCTGTGACGTTGCAAGCTGCGTCTGTTGGAGCTTCTGAAGATCATCCCCCTTCGTTCCGGCGATGCCCACAGTGCTCCTAGTACTTGAACCAGCAATTGTCGCTGGCGCTGTAGTAATGGTATTCGTAGCAGTAACCGTAGACGAAAAGATCCTGTCAGTCATAGCAATGCTACTACTATTGCTAGTATTATTTCCAATAGTACTAGGCGTCGTCGTCGCCCCCGCCCTTTTTGCCATAGTAGGGTACAGTTGAACTTGCTGCTGCGCCAGCGAGATGTGCAGTCGGTTCGACTCTTTCTGCGCTTGAAGCAATGGGTTCATCACTGAGGCTTTTGTATGGGCGGAAGCAGCAGAAATTGGATCATTTCCGCTTGATTTCGCCTCAACAAGAGTCTCAATAGTAATCGCTTGATGCGGAGGTGTCCACTTCGCCTTGTCTGCAATATTGTGAGGCTCCTGCTGCATGGCGGAGGAAACAGAGTGAGCAGGCCGATGCGCCTTTGTCTTGGCTTGATCATCGGATGCTTTGGGAGAAGCTAAGGCACTTGCTGGGGCGCTCAGCTGCGCGGACGTGGACGCCGTTCCTGCTTCGGTCGGGTTCGCCATGTGTTGAGAACGGTGTGGACGTGAAGGTTACGAAAAGGGTACACGAGAGTGCTCTGGTGAGTTACAGTCCGATGGTCGGACTGCGTAAACTAATTGCGAGCCTGTAGGGTGAAGCTTTTAGTAAGTGTGCGCAAGGTTAAATGCCGGGCTTTTAGATCGTACTTATCTGTGCCTGTCTGTAAATGACGCGGCTAAGTGGACTTTCACGTCTTAAGTGCGATCTAGCCTGGCCCCCTCATTGGTATATCCGAAGTCACTCTTTGCCAAGGTCAATAATGTAGTGCAAAAGTGACCTAGCCAAAGCGTGGCTTAGGGTGCTTGTGATTGGCTTATAATCAATTAAAGGGGAAATGATCACATAAGCAAATGCTAGACGCTAATAAGCAAAGGCCGATCGCGTTGCCCTACCTTACTGTACTCGGTTAACACAGACGGTAACATCATCATACGCCTTCTTCAGTCACTCATGTTAAACAGTGTTTTGAAACTTGAGTCCGTTCTCCGAACTGGATTGCTTGTATCACAAAGAGCGAACTCCAGAGCTAAGCTTCCCTATCTTATCTCTTATATGTCTCATAGTCAACTGACACAGAAGGAGAGGGCGAAACATCTTATTGGCATTCATCGAATGCTTATGCGACTATGGTCCTAGTAGATACTACCCTTCTCTACTGTAACCAAATGCATCAAGTAGCTTCACGGGCAACTTGTGAGGGTGCAATAACTTCAATTTGCCATAGCCAACTTATATGTCCCCGCATGCTTTCGTTGAGCTTGTTAAGTGTCGCACTCGAAACGAATCCTCTACGACGTAGTCGTTTATTTCTTTACGACTCAAGAAAGCCAGTATATCGATAAAAAGTAGCTTTTTCCTTTCTGACTACGGCTAGTGAGCTCTCAACTTGCAAAACTACTGCTGCCTGTAGTAACGCTAATACTGTGATGTCTTAGGAGCAAGAACCTCGGTTTTTCCGAAGGGTCGGAAATTTGCTAATTTTACATTTGTCCGCTTTTGTTCACGCTAACGCCTATCAATTGCAAGCACTAGTGTGGACTTTTCACGCGGTCGCAACGAGTGACCTGATCAAAGAGTTGCATCGATCATGTGTTTGTCGACGTACAAATGGATGTTTTGCTAGGGTGCAGGCAGGATGTTGACCTCAGTCAGCGTATCATCGCGCTGTACTTCTTCAACATCACTGTCAGCACTTTCCTACCGACACGCAACAGCTTGAATATCTCGACACAAATTGGACGGCACTCTTGTAGACAGTACTACACGTTTTGTAGTAGAGACGCGTTGATAACGAGTGAAGGCTGTATTTGCTGTTCAAAATCCAGTTGTAATCTTCACGATTGCGGTCGTTGCTAATCATCATGTCAAGTCACTTTCGGAGCGACGCTAGTCTTCTTGCTGGTGCATTCGTGTACCGCGAGCACAAAGTTGTCGTCGATCCCGCCAATCTGCCGCAATGGTCGCTATTCGTTCCGCTAGTTTTCTTGTTGCTGAACCCATCTTAATATGTTTTACCTTGCCACATCCGTAGCTGGCGCGCACTTCCTGGGGGGGGCCGCGCAATCGTCCACGTGCGCAACGATCCCCGTTTTAAAGGAGCGTCCGAATCGAGCTTTCACCTCGATTTCCTGCGTGAATTGTGCAAGCTTTGTAAAACTTTCGAGCTACATGTAGCGGAGCTACACAGCTCCGTAAGTCAGAGGAAGAATTAACGCTCAACGAGAAAGTTAGTTCTACAGAACTAAACTCAATGAGTCAACAAGCGTAACGCTTATGATCCTTGTTCCAGGGGACCAAACGATTCGATGAATCGACAGCACTCAGTGCTCAAAAACAACTAGTTACCTCAGGGATGGGTTGCTAACTCTAAGTGATCAGCGATCAACGACCAAAGACGCCTCACAAGGCACGTGTCTTTAAGATCAAAAGAGGAACTGAAACTTGTTTACATTTACACCTATCGAATATCTTAATCATAATCTATACACTTATGTCCTAAGTTAGTGCCTCTAAAATCTCTCCTATCTAGTGGCTGACACCAGTCAGCCCCTATAAACTGATAAGATATTCTATATCTCTTTCAGTGGGATATCATCCGTGTGTCCAAGACAAAGGGTACCAGGTACCCAACTACGTGTAACACCGTTGCACCCTCACCATACTGACTTTCCTAAAGCGCCAATCGAATCTCGCCCCAATCGAACGTTCTCTTTGAACTTTTTTCTTTCACGAGTTCAGTGCACGAGCGGGTCATTACGGCAACGTAAAGCTCTATCACGACGTCCTCATCAAGTAACGAGTCAAAGACTATAAGTGATTACCTCGAAATAAGAAGATTTTATAAAATGGTAGCGACACCAGTGTCCCGAGTGATGCAGGGACAATGTCCGATACACCCATGTCTGAGGTACAAACTCGTCTTGCCCCCTGTCCGTTCCCTATATATGATGATAAAAAATCACCATTGGCACCGCGCTCAATCCCCGGTTCTTATGATAACATCATCACGAACTCGCTCGATGAGCAACAATAGATAACACTTAAACAAGGAGAAAGCACTCGGCGCCATGAGCAAATGGCCGCAGCCCTCGAGCACCAACGTGACTATGTGTTCACTTCACCTAGTGTGGAGGAACGCTTACGTCTAGCGGCCGGCCAATCGTTGGCAACGTGGATCATTGGCCACAGGCCTAAGTCTCCTGAGGAGGTAACAAGCGGACAGGCACTTCGTGAAAGGTACCTGGAACCTCACCTAACATCCCGAGATCAAAACAAGGCTCGCCTTGATATGCAAGCTCGTGGTGCACCGGTCCCACTGATAACGAGTATACCCATTCTCTTGTCTGCAGGCGAAACAGAGAGCGAAGAAGACAATGCCTTCGTTTGCTGGGTGCACCGCATACGTCGCCTCAGCAACATGTCTCCTCTAAGAGCTAGTGCCAATGTGGATGATGTGCGTCTCGAATGCAAACTTTGGTATGACTATGTAAAGCTTAAGGCCAGAGGCCACTTGCGTAATCCCACGCGATATGCTTTGGCTACCACGGTAACCGCGAGTGTTGGTAAGAAGATGACCACAAACCCGCCAACCCGCACCACTAGTGGTGGGAAACGGCCTCGGTCTTAAGAAGACCGTGCCACGATGTTCAAAAACATCCAAAGCATGAGGGCAATCTTGCCGTAGGGGTGCCTCGTATTCCCATGAGTTGTCAGACCCAGGGTACCCAAGCCACTTAACCAGATACTGGTAGTGACCATAAAGACGACGTCGTTTTAGTAGGCTGTCGACATGACACGGATGGCACCCATGCTCATCGAGAGGCGTAGGTGGCGACCGGTACCGGTGGCAGTCCACGCGAAAATGGTTCTCAAAGTGAAGGGTTTTCAAGAGAACATGGGGAAGACCCGATTAATGCTGATGCGATGCAAAGCCGCCTTTAGGTGATGGAGCATGCTTAAACTTGGAGCGAGGCTCAGTTGGACTTGCTGATTCGCTTGCATCAATCCGGGGCGCCGCCCTCGTCGTCGTCACCAGCGCATCAAAGTTCACATGGGAAGGATCCCGGTACGGCTTAAGTAAGCCTACGTAGAACACAGGGTGTGTGCGCGATTTGCGTGGAAGGTTGAGCGTATACGAAAGGCCCTTCTTGGCGGTGACCGTAAACGGTCCAATAAAGCGTGGACGCAACTTTGTCTTGACGACAGAAGACACTACATTTGTAGGTAGGTTTTTAGCATTGAGTAATACTTGGTCTCCGATCTCATAACTTTCAATACAATTTCTGACTCTGGCATCAGCTTGTTGTTTTTGGTTATCTTGGCTATCAGCCATTGCGTCGCGCACATGTCTTAAGACATTTAATCGCGTTGCTAGAAACTCGCCTACCTGTTTTTGAACAGTAGCAGGGCTGATATCAGCAAGACGATCGGCAACCTCTCCCCCACCAAGCCCTGAATTACGTAGTGATAGCGTTAACGGAACGCGAGGGTGGTGAGACCTTTTGCGCAAACGAAGTAAAGCCTGTATGGGCTTGAATAGCGTTGTTTAATGTAAATTCAACAACAGGGAGCATTGAGCTCCAACGCCGTGGCGTATCAGCGCAAACACTGCGCAATACGTCATTAATGACGCGATTAACACGTTCAGTTTGACCATCGGTCTACGGATGATTCGCTGTGGACATGTCCAATCGGGTGCTGAGCTTAAAGATGGACTTCCAAAACTTCCCAGTGAAGCGAGGATCTCTATTAGAGACAATTGCTACAGGCAAACCATGTTGGCGAAACACACGATCGATACACAGCTTTGCCGTGCCTTTAGCATCAATCGTGTCCGGAACAGTCGCTAAATGAGCCAAATTGCACAAACGGTCAACAAAGACCACAATAGCAGTGTTGCCTTCCAAATCTTTCGGTAGGCCGAACACAAAATCCATACTCATGAAATTCCAACACACAGTGGGTACAGGCAGACTAGCCAGCGGCGCAGCTGCACGTACAGAGGGTTTGATCGTGGACACGTTTTGCACGTACACACGTAGGTGCTCACCCACTTATAAAGTTTGGGCCACCAGTTAGCCTGGCTCACTGAGCCATTGGTCTTCTCACGACCGAGATTAACACTTAAGGCGGTATCATGTGCCTCATAGAGGATTCGATGCTTCAATTTCTCATCATGAGGGAAAGCAATACAAGGGATATCCTCAATATCCGTTTGATAGTACCACAGGCCATTATCTATAGAATACCGATGTATCCTTGCACGTACACGTGGCGACAATTTTATGTCCGAGTCTATAAATTCGTCGCTCTCAAGAGCCCGTATCAAAGCTATACACTGTTCATCCTTGGCACAAGCCGCACGTATTAAGTCAGGGACTGATGACGACAGTGTCGTAACATGAGCAAGCTCATAGTCAGGTCGGCGCGAGAGCGCATTAGCTAAGGCATTTTTCTTTCCTGGCTTATACTTCACCTCGAAGTT